AGCTGATGGGCTGATGGGCTTTGGGCCGAATTGGGCTTTTCTTGGGCTCAACTTTTGGGTTTTGCTTGGTAAACTAGCCCAAATCCAATTGTTTTCTTCAAAAACCTGAAAAATAAAATAAATCTAATTAAAATTAAATCCTCTAAATTTAGGAATATTTGAAATTAAAATCACAAAAATTGATAAAATAGTTTGACAATTATGAACATTAAAAGTGCAAATTCGTGCACTTATCAGGAAACAGTATTAGAAACGGCTGAATTTGAATTTTTATAAGAGAAAATATTGAAGCAAAAACTTTAGTTGTAATTCGAACTAACGAAATGAACGGTATCTGAATTCAAATGCACTTGAACTGTTAAAACAAATATGTCATACACAAATGAAAAAAGAAGCTATATGCATGGATATGACACTAAAGTGGAACGCTGCCAAATTTATCAAGAAAATTCAACCGTTTGGAAATTAAGGACTAAAAAACCAGCACGTAGTAACTTATCCAAAACGAAATCAGATACATTCAATTGAATATTCTAAAATCCGGAATTAATTTGTAGTTTTGCAGAGGGTGAATAAAAAGTCCTTAACGTTATCTAAGCACGTTAGCTATATGCATGGATATTATGTTTGTAGTCTTCAGAATTTTCTAAAATATCAAGTTAGACCCGCAATTACTAATACGTATTAGTCACGCAAAAGAAAAACACAACCAATTGAGACTGAACCCTATATATATACCACCCCTCGCAACTCCTTCATCAATCAAGTTGTATTGATTTATAATATATTCATCATTTGGTCACCACAAGATTAGCATATTATTTTCAAGTATTAAACATTAACGATCATGAAGATCACCCAAGTGCTGTTCGGCCTCACTCTGGCCTTCCTTCTTGCTGCGGGTAATTTTGATTCATCTTCATTACAATTTATAAGCCTCTTTTTACCACGAGTTGTTGGTGATTATATCCTTGATATAATAAAAACCAAAGACATGGTATTAGTTATAACGTATATCTCAACCACGCTAATCATAATTAAAATATATATCTCTTCTAGCTAGAAAATATTACATGCATATACACACACATATATATATATATAATATAAGAATTAAGAAATAATGTGTATCTAGCTCATGATTAAGGGACATTACATTTCATATATATGTGCGTAGTTAGTTTTTCATCATACTAACTCTTCACCAATATATATGAGCAATTGGTTATTTACCGTAAACATATAAATATTGTTTCACAGCCAAAAAAAAAAAAAGCAAATTAATATTGTCAGCAATATTCAAACAGTACTTCTAATTTCTAATATGTAAAGTATATGAAATCATGTATAAGCATCTTACATTGTTATGATCATACTTATGATATTAATTTTATCATTACTGTAGAACTTCTTGAGCTTGATTTAATTAGACTTTAATTACCTACAGGAGCAAATGCAGCTAAAGTAACCATCAAAAGCAACTGTCCTAGAACCATCTGGCCGGCAACCCTAACCGGCGACAACAAAGCCCAACTGTCCCCCCCCGGCTTCGAGCTCAGCCAGGGGCAGAGCCGCTCTGTCGACCTCCCTGCACCGTGGAGCGGCCGGTTCTGGGCCCGAACCCGGTGCTCGACCGACGCCTCCGGCAAGTTCACCTGCATCACCGGCGACTGCGGCTCCGGCACGGTCGAGTGCAACGGCAAGAGTGGGGCCCCACCCGCAACTCTCGTCGAGATCAGCATCGCGAAGAACAGCGGGCAGGACTTCTACGACGTCAGCAACGTCGACGGGTTCAACGTGCCGGTGTCGGTGGTCCCGCAGGGCGGCACCGGGGATTGTAAGGAATCGACTTGTCCGACCAACAGCATCAACACCGACTGCCAGGCTCAGTTCCAGGTGAAAGACGGCTCCGAAGTGGTTGGGTGCAAGAGTGCGTGCACGGTGTTCAACACCGATCAGTACTGCTGTAGGAACGCTTACGGCACGGCGGAAACGTGCCCGCCGACGGATTATTCTAATTTCTTCGAGACGAGGTGCCCGCTGGCTTACAGCTACGCTTATGATGATAAGAACAGCACTTTTACGTGCTTCAGCCGACCGGATTACCTCATCACATTCTGCCCGTGAAGAGGAAACTAATTATTATATATACTAAGTTAAATAAGAGGTTACTATAAGAATAAATGATTGTACGTACTCATGATGTTTTCATGAGTTTGCTTGTTTGACATACATATTTCTGTTGTCTGTCGAGCATATTATATACCTCTAACGAATTTATAGGGAATAATAAATTGATATTGGAATTTCGATTTCCAATTTTCTGAATTATATATTTTTCTTTGATCCGATTGTGGAGATTTTATGTGATTATATGCATGGATGAATTATTTTTCAAAAGTGAAAAGATGCATATTTTTCAAAATATCAGAACTTTTCTTGGACTGTCATTCAAAGTAATTTCACAAAAATGTTCTAGAAACAAATAATAATAACACATAAAATGATAACAATATATCAATATATTATCTTAATAGAAGCCAAGAAACTTGGAATATTTATGGCTCATTTAGTTCGTTGATTTAAGTTTTTAATTTGAGTTAAAATGTGATTTTATGTGAGTTTTTTACTGTAATAAAACTCATATCAGTAAAATGAACGAGACCTTAATCTAAAACTAAAAAAAAATATAGAATCAATTAGGAATTTCAAACGTGGAAAAAAAAAATGTCATCACTCTTGCATGACTTTTTTCTTTATTTTCTTACCAGTTATTTGGTGGCGATTAATTTTGATTGGATCGATATTGGTTATTGAAACTACTCGGTCAACCTTAACATTGAATGAGTTCTAGAGGAAGCGGGACTTCGATAACCCTATTGTCGGGCGTCATAAATATTGTATGGCCTCTATCTACCACCAGCGATAATGGCATGATGGCAATGATGTATGGCCTCTATCTACTTTATTTATATTTTAGTCAAATCCCACGTCCTCATGAGTTCCAACTCTAAAATGACAAATGGAAATGTAACCAACTACCTTATCCTTACCCATGAGGTTCCAACATTTTTTCCTTAATTGACCTAGGAGTTGTTCCCGGGCATCCTCAAAAAAAAGGTTATTATACATCCCAACCCCATCCCTTAGAAAGAAAAAGGTAGCACCGAAGAAAGGAAAGAGCGGGATGGTGTTTTGAAAGCAAGCTCCATTCAAAGCGGTCGTTAGACCTTGCGACACAGCCAGGTTTCCATTTATTGGATTTATTCCACAGGGATGACCCCACTCCTCACCTTGGCCAGAGGAGTTCCTCACAGCCAGTTTTCCATCAAGCTCAATCAAAAACGAACCGGCCCAATGATTCCCCCCTAAATAAAGTATAGGAAATCAAATGTTAAACCTTTCTTCGGTTTTGTTTTAGTTTTTTATTTTTTTTTCTTCTAAATTGATTTTTTGCTATTTTTTGTCGAGCCGACCACACCTCTGGGCGCCCGAGCCGACCGACAGGCTGAGGGCAATGGAAACAATCTGTGTAAAACAAAGCTGTGACCTATGCCCCAAAAGGGCGGGGTAAGCCAAGTTGACCGGCTCAGTAATTGGTGGCCCTTCCCTACCCCTGTTCTGCCCGGTTTTTAAGGGAAAGGCTTGGCCTGTGGCTTTTCCGGAGGTCATTTATTCTGGTGATTCCAAGCCAAGGAATCGAATCCATTGACAACCGATTTAATTTGAGTTTAAAATTTAAATTTTATTATAATAAAAAAAATTTAAAAATAATTACATTTTTTTTTTTTTTACTACAGTAAAATTTTTTTACATAAAGTCACATCTTAATTCAAATTAAAAATTCAATTCGAACTAAACGTGCCTTAAATTTATAATGGGTATATTAAACTCATAGTAGACATGTAAAATTTGAATTGTGAAAAAGGTATTGACCATTATATTGGTGGAACAAGTTAATTCTATCTTATAAACGTTGAGCGGGGACGTACCAACTATACCATGTTTAATTAACAATATACATATTCAATAATTTCAATAATTTGATAATAGGAAGAAACGTAGCATATATATGAATTAAATTTCTTTAGCAAAATGTATTGCAATACTAGAATAAGACATAATCGTCATTTTATTTTAAACTCATTAGTGTAATAGGTGATTATTGGGGTTTGGAAGGCCTTCTTCTTTTTATAACTTAAATTACAACTCAAATTTTTTTAATACAGTATTTTCTATATAAAATTTTAAAATTTAATTTTTTTACTATATTTTTTGCTCTCATATAAAAAAATTTGAGTTGTGACTTGAGTAAATAGAACACACCCTTTGTATCTTGAAATAATTTGTATCAATTGTACTATTTCTATTACTTTATTATTCAATGAAAATCCTATTTTTAAAAAATAAAAAATATGGTTGAGGTGTAACTTAACCATTAGAATTCAAATCACCCCGTTTCATTTTTTTTTTTTTTTAAAGTAGAGGTTTTTCTTCTCTCTGATATTTGCAATATGAAGGTTTAAATTGAAAATTTAAGTTAAATAGTGAATTTATGTAAAAAAAAAAAATGTTATAAATAGCTGAATTTAAATTTTTGTAAAAAAAAATTATAATAAAAAATTTAAATTGTGATTTTGTTTCGGAAATGTTAGATTTGGCCACTATCTGCCCCATTATTAGAACAAAAAAAGCAATAGGTATTATGGTAATCTCCTAACTAACAAGCTTAGCAGAAAGAGAGATAAAACCGAATTTAGAAACTTTTTAGAATTTGTAGCAGCAGTAGTCGGTGTCCAATGGAAAGAAAGAGACGGATTACACGGACAGAGAGAGAGAGAGAGAGAGAGAAGAAGAAGACTGGCCAAATGGGAAAAAGAAAAACCCAAACTTTCACACTTTCAACGCCTAATCTGATTCGACAATCCACGCAAATACTCCAATTTCGATTCTGATGCTTCCATAGCTTTTCGATTGATCGAGTTTTTCTTCCCAGCTTCCAATGGCGAAGAAGAAAGTAAAGAAGAAGATACAGGAGCGAATCGATAACTTGCCAGGCGGATATTCTCAGCAGCGAAGAAGCTCCCCGCCAAAACGCCGCACCGATTTCTCCCTCTTCTTCTCCAATTCTTCCGATTCCGGTAAATTCAGATTTCGTTTTCCCTTTGTTGTTCTGAAGGAAGATTTCGTTTTGTTGTGAGAATTTTTGTTTTGGGAACGAGTGATTTGAATTTTGTTCGCCAATTTGTGAACTCTTGAACTTGCTTTTTGAAATTTAGGTCTCATTCGACTGTAATCATGGCAGATTTACGTAAGATTTCTGTGGGGTTTACAATGTGGTTTGCTGTGTGAATTTGTTCTGTAAATTTGCTATGTAATGACACCAGCAAAATTCAACTTTGATCTCGCTGATTCCAACTGTTTATCGATAAATAAATAAATAAATAAAAGCTGAAACTTTTCAGTGTTGAAGCTCACTAGAGTGGTTCAGGAGAAGATCCACATAGTCAATTCACATGGAAAATCTTATAAGAGAAATTGAAACATTGATATCAAAAGTGAAGTGTTGAAGAATATGTTTTTGTAAGGTTTTGGGATCAATTACGTGTTTATGTGTATTTAGGTGGATGCTAGAACTTTTAGTCAGGATTAGTGACTTGACAAGTTCTATAATTGTGTATGTGTTTTACTTTGCGGCCTATTTAGGAACTATGCGTGTCTAAAATTCTAAAGCTAGATAAAATCAAGAATTTTTTTTTAGAATTTACTCTTTTCTAGTGCATTTAGCATTTTTCTCGCTAAACATTGTATTTTGTTAGAATCTAAGTCTTTTCTAGTGCAATTAACATTTTTCTCCTGAAACATTGCATTTCCACTTCCAGGTTCGTTGCTCTGTCATAAAGTCGCTCTCTCCAAGAATGCCTTAAATATTTTTCATGACAGGAATTCAGAAGATAAAGAATTTTTTCCAAGTTCTTTGGTTAGGTGCAGCAAGATCACTGACGAAGGATCGGGATTTTCGACTGATTCCTTAGACACTTCAGTTGTAGAGGCTGAAGTAGTTAACCAAAAGGCTTTACCGGAGTTGCACGATGATAGGTAATGGTCTTATTTATGTAACAACTTGGCAAGAAATTACAAGTTCAGACCCTCTATTTTTGAAGTAAATACTTTAATCTTAATTATGCAGGGGAGTTGGCAGGCACACCAGTAAGGTTTTGGGGATATTGGATCACACACCACAGAAGTCCCTTGTTACAGAAAGCAAGGCTCTCTGTGCATCTCCAGCAAGTGTCGCATGTGCTGGGACGCGCAAAATGTGGTGGCCTGCTGAAGTATGTTAAATTCATGTTGAAGTAGTAGTTTTTCAATTCTAATGTTGCATTGCACAAGTAATTTCACTGGTCGTACTCAAAAACACAAGTTTGAAAAGGTTTGTTATTTATAGTTATAGAACTCTATATGCAAATGAACTATTGATCCACATGGGGCACAGAAGTGCATCCAATTGCAATTTGTTGTTGAATATGTTATTTCTGCCAACTCAATTTTGTGTTACGTGTTTCATTGCACCAATGCTTGAATGCAGGAGTCGAGCCGAGAGTTGGTGAAGAGCACCGCCACTTCTAATCACTCAGATCAACAAGATCTATCATCTGGTATGCCCTTGTTTTGTATTTTATGTTGCTATCTGTTCTTGATGATCTTGGGAAAACCTGTAAGGAATATGAAATAACTTGAAGCCTCATACATTGAAAATAGGGTTAAATTCACTGGTGCCCTTGAACTTTGGGGTCATTTCCACTTTACACCCTAAACTTTGAAAACTCTCACTTTATTCCCTGAATTTTAAATTTGTCCTATTTAAGTCTTTTGTAAGAATTTCCGTTAAAATCAAACGCAAAAAGAGTGGATTAAGTGTGATCACGTGGTTTTATCGGTTTGTTTTTAATAGAAATTCAAACAGAAAGACTATGTGACTGCATCACTCTCTTTTTGCACATTTGTTTTTTACATAAATTAGAATAGAAGGGGTTACGTGCGAAAAGTTCAGAGTACAGGGGGCAAAGTGGGAGTTTTTAAGTTCAGAGGGCAACTTAGAACAGCTCTAATGTTCAAGGGTACCAGTGATAATAATCCTTGAAAATAATATTATGCTAAATAGAAACTGGCTAGAAAAAGTAGAAGGAAAAATTTTGCCCTATGGCCTAAGGGTGTGTCTGAAGAAAACAAAAATTATGCCCTCTGCCTTTTAATTTGTAATGCATAACTTTCTTAAACTTGCAAATGCTGTAGAGGAGTAGCTCAGCAGCTACTTTTATCATTTTTGACTTGGGTGTTAGCTAATTTTTCCAATTGTTTTAGAAGGCTCAATGATTTCCCATTTATGAAGCTATGACATAATTTTCTCATCTCTCTTCTTCCCTGTCTTTTGGTTTCGTCGCCGCAGATAAATCAACTTTGTCAGTTTTGAGCAGAACAGAGGATGATTTTCTTGAAAGAGGCAGGGGCAAGAGGAAACGTAAGCCTAAAATTCACTTTGATGTGAGTTCCTTTTCCCCAACCTTAGTCCCATTAATAGTGAATGAATCACTTTGCAGGTATTATTTTTTACTAATAGATAAATAATAATTTTTGCAGGACATTATTTTTGAACTTAAACCAGAAAGGAAAATTCGTCGACTTAGGATAATGCGTTACCTTGGCCTTACACCTCCTGCTGGCTCTCCCTTCTGAGCTGCTCGCCTAAGAATTGCTTCCAAGCTGTGCATATATGGATGGTGTATGATTTTTCTTATTTATTTCTGTGTGGATCATCAGGTTGTCTAGTTAGTTAATTAGTTTTTTTTTTTTTGGAAGATCTCTACCATGTGTATCGATAGTAAGATTGGAAGAGTTTTTAGCACAAATGGTCCGCAAATTATTTAGCATATGGCAACACGTTTTTTAAACTTCTAAATACCCGAACTCTTGAATTGTTGGTAAAAGGACCCAAAAATGATAATGGACCTTAAAAACCTAGGTTGCTTTTTGCTGCATTACTGAATTGTTAATGGAGCGTTTATATTTGCACCCGGGGTCCAAGGTTCGAATCCCGGAAACGGCCTCTCCTTCGGGGGGATAAGGCCGCGTACATATGAGATTGAGCTTTCCTTAAGCCTGCGGGAGCTTTTTTGGCACTGAGGTCCACCATTACTGAATTGTTGATGGAATGGTAATGGTATTCGGAATATAATGGAAAGACAAACGCAACTCCTTTGTTTGGCTTTGACTTTGAAATCATATCAGTAAAGATTATTACTTTGATTAACTATATAAAAGAATGAATTAAAGTTGATTCGGCCAATTTACTCTTATCTTTAAATTAAATAGTTAAATAATTATTTTTAATAGTTTGATATTTTTGTTCAATTAAATACTAGTAAAAAATGCGCGTGACTCATTTAAAATAATGGTTATATAAATTGCTGAAAAAAAAATGAGAAAGGGAAAATAAGGACAAAAAAAATAAAGACAAAAGTTGAAAAAAAAAAATATGAAGCAAAAAACATGGAAAAAAAGACAAAAAAAACACTTAATAAAAACACTTGTGCGAAATGTTTTGTAATTGAAGTTAAAATCTATGAGGATCGCATGTAAAAGTGTTTATGTAGAGACACATTGGAGAATAATTTAATTTAATAGGGTAATTAAAAAAATAATACTTTAAATAATTGTAAGAAAAGCATTTAAAAGAGATACATTTGAAAATATAAAAAAAAAATTAAAGGTTAAAAATTGCAAAAAAGAAGATGAGGCAGAAAAACAAAAGAAATTAAAAAAAATAAAATAAAATAACCTAAAAAAAAGAGTAAAAAAGTAAAAAAGTAAAAAAAAAAAAAAAAAAAAAAAAAAAAAGGGGGGAGAACGAACCCGTCCCCGAAACCTAACCTGTTCTCTTTTTTACAGAGAGAATGGATAATTATTTAATTATATTATTTATTATTGTTGTTTAATTATTCAATAATATTATTTATCATTGAGGGGTCAAATGGTTATTCTGCGAAAAATGATGGTTGATGTTGTAATTTAAAAAAATTAGAAGTCAAAATATGATTTTTTATAATTATAAAAAAAAATTATTACAACATCCATTTTAGAACAATTATATTCGACTCTACTAAATTTTTGAATAATAAATCACAATTTTAATAGTTTAGGAATATTTTTAGTATTTATAAAGTAATAAATGCGTACCAAATTTACGTTTTTTATTTTCATCTCTAAAAATTTTCCCCTAAAAAGTCAGAGTTCAACTCTGATTTCATCTCGTCACGAGAAGTTTTCATTTTCTAATGTTCGTGCTCTGATGAATAAGATTTTTTTCTTGTTTTCGTATGTTTTACATTAGAAGTTTTCATTTTGTTGTATTAGTTCTTGGTTTTCTCCCAACTACTTTTTTGGTTCTTTGTTAGTTAGCTCATTTGTTCGAAATTCCACATCCCACAGCTGCAACTTCTTTGCTTTAGGTAAACTACAAATTTACAATTTTCTTGAACAACTGTATATTTATTATTGTCATTTAATTCTATAATATAGTAAATAAGTGACAAAAATTAAAATAAATAAAAATCAAGAATATACTATTATTCGGGTCAATCACAGTTTTCTTTCTGTGTTTATTATTATGGCAATTTGAAAAGGGTTTTTGGCTCTTTATATAGCCTAATAGGAAGAGTCCTTTCTCATTAGGCTTTCCAAGCTAATGTGGGATTGGACTCTTTTCTTCATATCGGTTAAAGTTAACATTTTAGAAAGTGCATCAAAATCAGCACAAAAAATAAGTCATTCAGACAAAAATTATAACTTCTATAAGGAATTTTAAAAATTTATATTTCCCACATAAATGAATTTTTTTGGGTGATTCTCTTAGATTACCAATTCATTCCAAAAACTTAAGCAATTAGGAGGTGGGTCAACAATAATTTTATACTTTAACACTCCCCTCACGTGTGGACTGGATGATGAACAATCATGTAAGTAAATTAATTGAAAAACCCAACACGTGAATATTTAAGCCCGAGATATATTAAAGACCCACACAATTTTAAATGGAGATAAAGAATGTAATTACCGGGATTTAAACTCAGAACCTCCCACTTTGATACCATGTTAGATTACCAATTCATTCTAAAAACTTAAGCTATTAAGAGGTGGGTTAACAATATATGATCATAATTATCTTTCTCTTATCCAATTTCAAAAAGTTCCAAAAATAATAATAATAATTGCACGCAGATAGGTGATAAGAAAGAAAATCTGAACTCGTTTCTCAACAACCAACTTTAAAAATTCACGTCAAATAATTTCTAAATGAATTAAGGTGATCTGTATGTACAAAAGATTAAACAATGTTAGAAACATATATGGCATCTTCGGTTGTATTTTTGAGTTATTGTGATTTCACTATAGATTTTGAGTTATAATTTAAGTTGAAGTTGTAATTTGAGTTTGTGTTTAGATGTGCACATTTGAGTTATGATTTGAATTAAGAATCTATTTGAGTTTGTGTTTGAGTGTGTCAAAACTTGAATTTGTATTTAAATAGTATTTTAATAAAAACTCAATGGTGATAAAAAATTTTAATAGGGTATATGGGTGTGGTTTTATTCGTCTCTTCGTTGTGAATGCATACAAAAAAGCATCTCAATCAGAATTAAAATGAAAAAGTTATGACATTTTAATAGGGTATATGGGTGTGGTTTTATTCGTCTCTTCGTTGTGAATGCATACAAAAAAACATCTCAATCAGAATTAAAATGAAAAAGTTATGACATTTTTAAGAATAAAAAAATATTTTTTATTAATTTGAGTTTTAGTTTAAGAACTTGAGTTGAAGAGGAAACTTGAACTCAGATTTTAGCCTCAAACTCAAGTTAAAACTTAAGTTAAAACTCAAATTTTACAAACAAACATGAACTTAAATAAAATTATAACTTGAGTTTAAACTTTTTTTAAGTTTTACTCTAAAAAAACAAGCCCATAAAAGCTCAAATTTAATACCCTACAACAACAATAAAACCTGACATTCACTTTTTGCCGATGGAGAAAAGAAAAGGTTATTAGTTTTGTTGGTCCTTTAATTTTGAGCATTATGATATTTTAGTTTTTAAATTTTTATTTAAGCATATTTTTGTGAGAGAAAACACTGTAACGAACCATGAACTATGATTCAAATCATGGTATGAATCCCCTTACCAAACGTCTCTTAAAAGTTAATGGATGAAATGTCATAATACTTAAAGTTCAAAGACTAACTGTGTTATTGACGCAAAAATAAATAAATAAATAAAAAGATGTTTGCTAAGGATTTCATCACGTACTTTCCGTGCAATTATATATTCTAATCTCGAACATAGTAATCTTAAATTTGCTTATTTCTTATTAAGAGAGTGAGATTTAATTTTTTTTTCAAAAAACACCCTCAATGACAGAGCAAAGGTTTGTTGTCATTGAAGGCTTAATTAGGGTCCGTTCAGTTCACTAATTCGAGTTTTTAATTCGAATTGAGATGTAATATTGTGTGAGAGATTTTTACTGTAGAAAAAAAAGTTAGATGTGACTGTTTCTGAGAATTTTTTACTGTAGCAAAACTCGAATTCTAAACTCGAATCAGCGAAAAGAACGGGGCCTTAGTTTTCCCCAAAAAAAAATGAATTTTCTATTGTTCTGTTGTTAATTTAATGAAATACATGTAAATTTGAGAGAGGGTTAAAGTCGTTCTCCATATTCTATATTTTATATATTTTATAGATTTGAGAGAAACAAAATAGTGTTTCCTCAATTTTTATAAGGGCTAATATGTAAATTTCACAAGAATATACGTTAGCTTTTAAAAGGACAAAAGCGTGAGTTGGGGCTTCAACCCCTTCTCACCTTTACCTAACTCTGTCCATGAATAACTGAAAATATGATCAAAGTTCATTGAAATTGACTAAAGATGACACCAATTCTGTTAGCAAACAACTTCAAAATAAGCATTTAACGTCATATTTTTGAAGTGTAAAGTATACCTTAGACTATTTTCTTCCCGGATAATTAGCATTATTGGTCCTTAAATTATTCAGTTAGTGACAATTTAATTTTTATTTTTTTAATTTTGACAAAATAATCCTTAAAACTCTTAAAATGTTGGCAATAAAGACCTTACTGTCCATTTTGATTAATTTTTGACAGATTATTGCATGTGACTATCATGTGCCTCTCTCTTTCATCTAAAAGGCAAAAATACCCTCATATTTCACATTAAAAAAGAAAAAACTCAAACTTTTTTTGACAAAATAAAATCAAATCCATTATCCTCTCTTTCTCTCTCCTATCCCTCTGACTCTCTCCCTCTCTCGATCGATCGATTGCCCATTCTCTCTCTCATCAATCTTCTTCTTACACTATCTTTTCCTCTATTTATCTCAATCTTGATTCCATTTTTTAACCATCAGATCAAATTTGGAAAAATTAATATTTTGTATTTTTTGGATAAGTTACCGTTTTCTGTTTTTTGAGCAAGAGTCATTAAGAATTTATAAATAAGTATTTTGTATAAGACTTTATGTGTGCTCAGAGAAAAAGTGTCTCCTTTTGAGAGAAACCAAGAAAAGTGAGTAGAGAGATAGGTAAATAGTGTAAGGGAGTTTGGGTAGATAGAGAAAGTGAAAAAGTTTGTTGTGTGTGTAATTTTGAAATTGTTAGTGAATTTTCTCATTCTTTCATAGACGTAAGAAATTTTTTGAACCACCTAAATTTTTGTCTTCTCTGTTTTTCTGTTATTTTTTTTAGTTTATTTTTTCTACTGCGTGTGTGTAGGGGTGTATTTTTC